AAAAATAAATAAAATAGTCCAAAGTCAACAGTGTTCGTTGTACAGTCTGACTGCTGCTGGTAGGAAAGATCTGCGGTATCTCTCCCTCACACAGCGGGGATGGCGCAGCCTGTCACTGAAGCTACTTTCCAGGGCTGACAGAGTATAGTGCAGTGGGTGTGACTCATGGGTCAGCATAGCTGTCAATTTAGCAAGGACCCTTCTGTCTCCTACCTCCTTCACTGAGTCCAGAGGACAGCCCAGGACAGAGCTGGATTTCTTGATCACCTTATCCAACTTTTTTATATGCTGTTTGATGTTGGTGATCGCGTGGTTTTACATATGCGTCTGCTTACATATGCTATCACTTGTTTCTGCCTCTTCTTCTCCTGTGTTTTGATCTGGAGATACTGTACTGTACAGGAGATGTGTAATAGCACCCCCTTCCGTATAACAGTGAAAAGATGGAAAGTCGTAAAAACTCGTCAATGGCAGGGAAGCGTTTTCTCATAAAAGATTGAGATAACTCGTCAATTGCAGGGAAAGAGTTAAAGCACGAACACACCACACAACTTTTCAAACCTGAACAGATTTTTATAACGCAAGGCATCATACACTAACAAACTTTGGAAATGGTTACAGGAAAACTGGGCGTCATACACTAAACGACTGAGGATCACACACTATCACCCCAGCCCAGACTTTCACTCCGAACACAACTAACTCTCGTGAACAACACATGCCTTGCTGCTAGAAGACACATGACAGATGAAAGCAATATGTTCTAAATTTGGCTCAAAATAGCATAAAAAACTTCCACCATATCCTGTATCAAAGGGAGTCCCATAGCACAGGATTGCTGTGAATTTGAATTTGTTGTGAATGGATGTATAATTTGTTGTGTTCATGCGTAAATTATATTGTGACAACTATTTTGAAGTGTTGTGTTTTGACGTAATGTGTCTGAGAACAGAAGTGCTGAGTAAACAAGATGGATGAATCTGCTACTCCTGTCTCAAGTGCTTTATTGCTACTTGCTAAAGGTGCTTGACTTGACTTACTAACTCCTGACAGATACCACAAATTGGCGACGAAGATTAGGCTTTTTTTCCCGCTATCGTTGGTCACGAAGACGGCTGTTGCTAACATGCCTTGTCCAAGTTTTTTCCTGCCTTGCCCCGTTGAGCCTGCTATGCCGTTCAGCAAATGGCTGCAGATTTCTGAAAATGATCTGCACGTTATTGATGCTACAGGACGAAAGACAGAGATCTGTCCTGCTTCACTGCCTTATCACAGAGGGACAACAGATTTTATACTTAATTGTTGTATAAATGAACTTATTTGTTAGTTGTTGGGCAATTTTATACTCATTGCCCAACACAGGCACGACGTATAAGATGCAGAGGATGCATTGAAAGCCTACTTCGTGCCAAAAGCTAACATAGTAGCTGAAATATAACGCCTACCCTAAACACTGTCAGCCGCCTCACAAGACAAGACAACAAGTATGCTGTTGCTTTGCGAGAGCTTGTTTTTCATGCGAGTTTGGCGCCAGTACTGATGAAATGATTCACGATCAGCTAGCAGAGAATGTGCTTAGCCTAGTGCTGGGCGATATGACCAAAAATGTATATCATGGTATTTGTCAAAGTTATACCAGTTTCACGGTACATGACTTTTTTGGGTTTTTTTTAAGCATGGCCAGGTGTTAACCACATTTTCTACTGATTGAGATAGGAACTACTGCAGTAGATTACTGCCCTATTTTACTGTCATGAGTGAATATTGTAGAAAAATCCCACACTAGTATTAATACAGGTTTGCAAGGCTGTCTACAAAGAGGTCCAGCAGGAGGCGCTGTACGAGCAGCAGAAACAGCGGTTTCCCCAGTAACGGCTGTACACAAAGCAGTTTCCACGGTAACGGCTGTACACAAAGCAGTTTCCACAGTAACGGCTGAACACTAAGCAGCTCAGCGCTCATAAACGCTGCTTTATCAGGAAAGATAAAGAAAGATTAAATGAAAATAACATTGAAACTTTTCTAAAGACAGTCAGTTCCCTTCATAGATACATTCATATAAAAAAAAATATTTTATTCACCCGCGCCGCGTTTTGACTTTGAAACGTGCAGTGCTCATTTATTCAACAATGTCAAAGCCTTTTGGAAAATCTATTTGTGGCGGGCAGTGTTGTTATTGTGAACCAATGTATGGGAAACGCTTTAATATAATTTGACAGCTATCAATTATAGTTTAACCCATCCATCTTCACCGTCACAGTAACACACACAGCTGTTCCTCACCACAGTGCAACAGTGAAAAGACCCTCTCAAACAGTGTCGCGCCACCAACGTCGTTTAAGTGACATACACTGGTATTGCGATATATTAAAAATTCATATCATAACAAAAATAAATACCGGTATTCGTATGGACCGGTATACCGCCCAGCACTAGCTTAGCCGTTGAGAGACTTTTACTAGAAACTGATCTTACACTGGACAGAGCTGTTACAATTGCAAGCCAGATTGAATCTGCTACCGATCAGGATAAATCCTTTTCAAATTCCTGCCAAGTTATCGGCCCCGTACAAGCGGTGCGGCACACAGTAAAGCGCAGAACAACGGGCACCTCTCAATTGTGCTCAGGTGGAGAAGAGGGAGTGATGCTTTCTCTGTGGACCGAAGGCAAACTTAGCTAACGCTGCGAACCGCCCGACTGCAACCGCAGCATCCAGGAAGTGTTAAGAGTTTGGACATCACGCTAACCTGCTGATCAGCGCTATCAAACACGCATAAGATACATGAAATTTAATTATCAGAAGCTGCTGTACTGTACACTGAACATTCAGCTCGTACTCCCAGCATTACAAGCACAGCGTGTACTACATCTACTTCTGACTCACAGACTTGTGGTGGATGACACTGGGTCTTCTGTATCTATCCAGCCCTACAGCACCAATGCAGTTTCACAGTCTTCATGCCTTCTGGATGAAGATACAGAGCAGAGACTGCACAGCCACTTGAGTGGACAGAGTTTAGCGAGTTGGAGAAGAGAAAACTAAGAAACGAGCACATGCACACTTTGGTCAGAGCGATAACAATACGATGAAGGCGTTTACATGCCTTTTTATTGCGATTACAATCGGCGTACGCCACAGTTGAATGCGAATACTACGATTATGAGCTTAATCGCAATATTGACAAAATCCCATTATAATAGCATTATGAGGGTGCATGTAAACGCAGCTTAGACTAGGCAAAGCTTCACAGGAGGAGAGGTAATACCTTCAACACACTGTGATTGGCTTATCACGCTATCACTGTGGTTGTGTTTTCATATTGATAGTGTCATATGCATTTAACCTGCAAACTGTTTTCATCAAATACAGCATGAAGTTACTGCACTTCTGCAGCAACTCAACTGGTCACACAAGACACATGACAAACAATGCCATTCAACATCGACAAGGTCTCGTAGACTTTGTGTAGCCGCACAAGTGAGGACCACAAAACCACAAGTCTGCTATTTGGGACTTATTGGAAACAAATCTTAGATGAAAAAGGATGGTCATTATAAACCCAGATAGCACACGTACATCTGGCCGACATCGGCCAGACGTATGTGTGCTATCAGGGAAAGTATTCAAAATCGCATGGTATGTTTATTAAAGTATTTAAGAAACATAATATCAGATTAAATGTTTGCATCAGTAATGGTTTCAACATTTGTCCTCCAGTGAGAACTGATGTCTAGTCCTCACTATAATATTTTAGTAGGTCTGGTATACTACCTCAAAATGGTGCAAGCTAAATATTTTATTTAAACTTTTAATTTAGTTTACTTTTTAATTTTGCATTCAGCCTTTTATCCATTGGTAACAAGTGGGAATGCTTTGCAGAAATACAAATGTTTGAATTAAAAATGTTCAAGGTTTGCTACTATTCTGTTTGATTGGCTGAATTATTATATGATTGATGAATTATTAGGCTATTATTTACTGAACCATTTATGGAATTTATTGATTTGTTTTTTAAAATTCAAGTAACATTTCCCCCCCCCAACTCTATTCCTGTCTGTCTCGTAAGCCAGGTGATGAACGGGAGAGAGACAAATGAAGCCCGAAGCGTGTCCTTCAACCATGAGGAAGTTTGTTATCTCTCTTGAAGAGCTCAGGAGTGACTATAATGTCTGGCATTGAGGAAGACCTTTGCCAATGACATTACCCAAGGCTATCAAGCAATAAACATTCCCTGCAACTCCTGCGTCAGCACAATGAAGTACGGCATAAAAAACACAATTTGTTTCCAGGAGGACAGTAGCATTTTAGCAGGGAGACTACAATGATAAGGGTCAATTTCATTTTGAGTTATTCCTCAAACGCTGGGAAAAATAAACTCAAGAAATTATATTTTTGAATCAAGAAAATAAGGCCTATTCACATTTCATGGTGGCCGGCAAAAAAACCCCTCTCATTATTGTGAGAGTGACAGAAATTGAAAATTACAACTGGATAATATTATACTGTCTAAACAGTCTGGTTTTTTTTTGTAATGAATTAACCAAAAATAAATAGCAAAAATTGGTACAACACATACTACCATGATGTGCCCACATTTGCACGTTACAATTTAAATAATTCTCATTATGGTAGCTTTAAAATAAAAAAATATATACATAATTATCTTAAAAATAAGCTTAATTACCTTTATACATAAAACAATTCTTTAAATTTTGTGGTGAAATATGACCCAACAGTCACACAATGACATGTGTTAAAAAAAAAAAAATCCTTAAAAAAATGTAAATTAAAAATGTAAATTCAATTGAATTAAATTAAAACTTAATTTTTTTTTTTTTTTTTAAGTGAAGATATCCGAGATTTTTTCAATTTCCCATCCTAATGTCCTCTACATCTGGACAGCAGGGTGGATAAGTTCAAGTTCAAAGTTTTATTTGCCCTTTGTATAGCACAAAGAAATGATACATGACGCATTTTGAGGAACATGTCAGGTACTCACGCAGTCTCCAGTTTCTTAAACTCTGGGATGGGCTCAGGCTTTCTGCGGAATATGAGCCAGTAGATGAGCAGGCCAGCGATGAGGGAGAAGAGGAGGAGGTCCAGGCTACTGAAGAAGGGCTCGTCCTCATCCACCAGCTCCGGCTGAGTGGAGGCATCGGGCTGTGTGTCTGCCATGATACGAGGAGCACAGCTGCATCCAGACAAAACACATCACATATCGTTACACTCATGCCAATGTTGGATCATCCAAAAAGGAGAATCAGTTTTGGCGAATGCATTAACATCTGTAAGTCGCATCCATTTAAGGTGCAATCACACATTTAGTAACCTTGCACGGACAGTTTTATCCAAGGCTAACTAAATATAAATATAAACCAAGCTATGCACTAGTCTTGCCACACAATACAGTATGATATCCCCGGTCTAAAAGACTTTTAAACTATTAAAAGTTATAAAAAAAAAAAAATTAAAACTTGCCACAATATGGTTTGGTGGCATCCACGTTTAAAAAATGAATCAATGAGTAAAAAAAATAATAAAAATTGTGTGAATTTACACACTTAAAGAATTAGTTCATCCAAAAAGTGAGGTATCAGAGTAGTGCCTGTGTGGAGTGAACGATGGCCTCTACTCAACAAGAAGCAGGGTTCAGTCACAAGATGTGCAGAATAACCAGAAATGAACTGCAGCACAGGCCTGTCATTCTTCACCATCTGTTTCAAGCCTCAAATATTTATATCACCTCTCAAAAGAAGGAGAACAGAGATATGTGATAAGTTTAGGGTTCTCCATACAGCACCAGCACTATAAAAGTGGGACAATCTCAAACAAACACTAATGTACTAGACAGTGATCTTAAAAGATCAAATTCAATATATTATACACCTTATTGATGATGATGATGATGATACAGGCAACCGAGAATATGAACACAACACACTAACTTGCATTATATCATGCATTTTGCATTTACATTACATACAAAAATCTTTCTATGGGAAACCGCTTAACGTGAAACTTTGCGCATTGTGTTCATATACTATTCTAGTTTTAGGGTTATGGTCTCCGTGAGCTCGGGATGTGTTATGTTCAGGCGAAAAGACTGTCAAATAAGAATAAAGAAAATAAGAGGTTCATACTGAATTTGGTGTTTGTTATTAGAAGATCGCTATCGGCCGATAATCGCTTCGGGGAGTTTGATGGGCCGTCTCTATAAAGGCCGATCTCATGTTGATGACGCGCGACTACCGTGAGAAGTTCGGCATGACATGCAGTGGCGCCGTCTCAATCTCTGGTAAAACAAGTACAATGCTGAAGGTGACGTACAATTCATATTTCTTTATTAAAGCTGCAGTCCGTAGTTTTTCCTCTTTGTCGCCATCTCTGTTCGAAATCTGCTATTGCAGTTATTCGCGGAATTAACACTTTACGTAGTTTGTACCTCGACACGGCACAGCGCGGATGAACGTTTTGAGGAGAGTGTGAAGCTGTTAGTCAGTGTGGATTAGGGCTGTGCGATATGACGATATATATCGGATGGACGATATAAAAAGCCTATCGTTTCATATTATGCCATATCGTTTATATCGTGGTGTCGCAAAAAAACATTGTTTACGGCAAAAATTTGGATGACTGCAATCTTTCACGCCACCATGGGGATGCAGGCAGAAACGTGAATAACAGCATGAATGAAGGGGTGACAGAACCGGGTGTTTCCGAGCAGGAGAAGAACCAGCCAGAACAAACCGAGGAGCTCGTTCCTAAACGAGGGGCTAGATGGTTTGGTTAACTTTCTATTTGTTGTATTGACCATTTTAGGGTGGTTTGGATAAATAAACGCCAGTCTCAAATAGAGGCCTGGTCTGTTTTTTAGTTTCGGTTTGTATTTAATCTTCTAAAACCCGTCAGATCGTCTGTTTAAACCAGTTCTGTGGTGCAGATTGCGCGCATCTGGGCGGAGTTGTTAGCCCAAGCAGAGTTAGCGGAGGCCGGAGAGAGAAGGAGATCGTTTTACAGGGTATAGCCTTCATTCTTTCTTGTTGATGTGTTTCGGGCAACAAGTTCATAGGCTCGATGGATATTACCAGTAATGTATTGTTCAGCCCATGGCTGTCACATCGTTTCGTTTTTTTTAATTCTGCCAATAATCTAAAAGCTATGGTTATATTAAATGTACAATTATCGTTATGTATATACTGACTTCACCCTGTGCTGCAACATACATTTAGTTGTACATTCATTTACAGAAATCAGCTGGTTGAATTCAAATTGATGCTGTTATCGGATTTTCAGGTGATATTCCAAATTCATTCAGTTAACGGACGCTCTGAGGTAAAGTGTTCAGACTGCAGACTAAGCAACGATTGTATTTAATTGTACAGTACTATCATAACATAGTACAGACATGATCTTAATTCCATAATGTCCTTAAACACAACAATTTGCTGGCCATAAACTGACAGCGCGCGTCCGGTGTGCGATACCTCGAGTTGCTATAGACACGGCGCGCGCGCTTCTCGTCCGGTGAGCGACCCCCTTTAGACAAAATAAAGTAGCCTAGGCTAATTCTTAGATTAACGGATTTGTTAAACACATTTATAAATAAAACGTAATCTTCGTTATCTCTAGGCCTACACTAAATGAAAGGCCTGTCTCATAGACGCCTGCCTCAAATACAAGCCGGTGCAGTTCGGCGATTTGGGAAAATAAAAGCCCGGGCTATTATTTGATGTTTTACAGTAGCCTATATCGTGATATATATCGTTATCGGGATATGAGATGACTTCTATCGTGATATGAGATTTTGGTCATATCGCCCAGCCCTAGTGTGGATACTGTCAATCAGAATCACAGATTATACTTTTTGGAAGTATGACCAACATAAGAAGTTTCACCGGGAAATGTCATCTGAACAACCAACATCCACTTTTGTTCTGACCAACTAAGGGGGAAAAAAGCATTGCAGTAAATCGCACTGATTAAATCTAACGATCGCTTTTCATATCACGTCAAACCGTGCAAATTATACTTTGTTCTCAAATTGTTAATGTTAACAATGTTAATTGTAAATATTTATCCTTGTTTTCACATGGGCCGGTTGCAGTCTCTTTTTTTCTGTAGCCACTCCGAAGTCCGAACGAAGTCTTTTGCATTTTACAGCGGGTGAATCTGTTGTCACTGGTGATTGTCGTTTGAACCTTTCTGGATCCGCCATCAAATTGATAAGTTTAATTATATCAAGTGCTTGAGAAAAGGCAATAAATCTCCACCTCCAACATCCTCACACTCAATATAGCCTACTAGCCAAGACTCTTCTTTAGGTGTTTACAGACGTCACGTAATGACGCAAAGACATGCTCGAATTTCCCGCGGAAATCCACCAGTACCACTGGAGTTAAAAACATTATAGCCTAGGTCCTGGGTAAGATTTGTATGCACTTCTTTTAGCGGAGAATATCTCAACTGTTATAGACTAATATGACCCCATTAAACAACGTGGGATGTGTGCCAAAATCTCTACACGGGACGAAAGTCCTGAAAATGACCACAATTATAGGTGACACTATTATCACACTACAGGTGAATAAGACTTGTTTTCCCTTTATAGATATCATCATACATTACTACCAGATTAATCTTCATATTAAGAGAAATACTTTTTATATTACACTTTGTCTTAAAAATAAAATAAAATATGCAAATTAGGCCATATCTCATTAAATATGCGTATTGCGTACATATAAACTCTTGAAGCTACAGATTTTCTGAGGTGATCACAATGTTTACAATGACCATGTAGTGTAAGTGTAAGAATTCTGGTATGATATTTTTAATTGTGTTTCTGTAGATGTTCAGTGTGGACGTCGTGTGTGTGTGTGGGGGGGAGATGTCCTGTTTTGTGCTGTATTGAATGAAAAACTAGAAATACAATTGTATACAAACAAGGGACATTTTTTTAAAAGAAAAAAAACAAGTATTTTATACAGACATTTTATATCCAACCTTGCTATTATCATTGGAACGTTAACTTAAAGTGAAAAATACAAAACAGCAGCTTTATTCCCTGTTTTGCAATGTAAAACTTTCACAACAGAGTCCAGGTACGGGATGATGATGAGAGTTCATTCAGTGATAGGATTTTTACAACTATTGCCTCCCTTGCAACAACGGATACCAGCTACCCGACAGGGACACCCATCATTGTGTGCAGACTTGCTTCACGAGCAGGGATCTGGCAAACCTTCAGGTTTTGAGATTACAATCTCAAGGACTAATAAACTGCCCTTTCTTACAAAACCATAAGCATCTGCATTTAAGATCGAGGTGGAGTCTGTAAATGGTGCTTGGACCTAAAGCTGCTGTTGATTATAGGATCTTTGTATATGTTTTCTTGCATTAGTTGAGGTGCAAGCGGTCCCCTCAAAGTCCATCTTAAGGGCATTACTATCGAACGCAGCAATGCGCAGGTCGTCAAATGTCTCCATGTCCGTTGATGTTTTGAGACATTTGACCAAGATCTGGGGCCTCATTTATAAACGTTGCGTACGCACAAAAGAAGGCGTACGCTGCTCTCTACCCAATAATTGGTATTTATAAAAAGCAAACTTGACGGTAAAATGTGCGGTCATTCACGCAAGCTCTGACCCAGGCGTACGCACAAAAACGGGTGAAATGAGAAATGGCGACACGGTCGGCAGATGGAAGAAACACGTGAAAGTGTGTGAAACTGTAGACCGTTGTGTCTCATAAATAACACGAAGACTTCACAAAGCAAGTATTACAATTAACAGCCTACACGAACACCCGTTTGATCGATCTGCAACAGAAATGCAAATTAACACATATTTGCAAAAAGAAAAGTGAAATATGTTCTGCAATAATATTGGCATGTTATACAATTCATCCTCATAAATAAGATGGTAAACAGAACGAAATAATGTACAAAACTGATATTCTCGCCAATGTGTCCGTCTGGCGGAGCAGATATAGCTAGATAGTCAGTCAGATAGATAGATAATTAGGGAGAGATAGATAGATAGATAAATAGATAGATGTATTATTTGTCCACTGGGGAAAGTTGTTTTCATAGTAAAAATGTCTTTATCAGCTACGGAATCATGATATTCATGCAGGTATTTCATGCATATGCCTTTAGTTTGTTTTATTTTTGATAAAATAGCGTATGACGTATGTCACGCAACTATGGGCGTGACATGAAGCCGCAAAAGCTGCACTACATTTAGAATTGATTGTGATTTATTAAGGGAAAAATGTGTAGGATGTGCGTGCGCACGGTTTTATAAATCCGAATATTTCTGTGCGTACGCACGTCCTATGTTTCATCCGTACGCCACTTCTGACGCAAATCCTATGCAAAGTTTTATAAACGAGGCCCCTGGACCTTTTTTATCTATTTGTGGACACAACTTCAGCAGCTTAGTCCTAAGTTGTGTTTTGGCACTCTTCCTCAAGTAACCGTCTTTGTCAACCAAGAAGAATGCAGAGTTGGTGATCTCTTGCTGGAGTAGCTCCTCAACTGTGAACCCCCGGTGACACCCATACTCAATAAACATGAGAGCTTTGATTGTCTCATCTTTGATGTCTGCTCTGGAAGCCAAATTCAAGGTGGTCTTTGGCAAAGTAAACTTGACTTTACTAATAGTCGAGTGTATCGATATCGAATTATTTCTGAGTCGATCATCGATACATTTAGCACAAGCAGCACTGCCCTCTGTGATACAGCACTACAACTTGTCTACATTTACGTTGGTCACAATTTCTCCAGTGAGAACATTCTTAAGCGTTACCTGGTCTCGTCGAGGACTGCATATCTTCAGGAGATATTCCTCTATGTCTTGCACCATCTTTACTATTTTAGTTGTAGTGCCCGGGTTGAAGTCATGATGAAGTGAGAGTTCTCCTCCAACATCATCCCTCATCTCAAGGAGATCAACATACTGGTCTTTTTTATGCGTGATGATTCCCCAAAGAGCTACTGCTTCCTTCTTCCTAATGACCCCAATTATCCCTCCACTCACTTTGGCAGGCCGGTTGTAACACTGCTCCAGTGCTTGCTTGGTCAAATGGCACTCCACTACCTTTCTTGGTGGTGTTCACAACAAATCCACCATTTATGTATGAGTCGTAGAGGAGTGGGAAGTTCTCCTTCAGTTGATAGCAGTCCTGCAGGAATAATGGTGTCCATTCGACAGTAGTTTGTTCTCCCAAAAAAAGAAGAACAGTGAAGTTGCCCTCTCCATTGCACTGAAGTAGAGAATCCAGTCTCCAGAGCGCAGAGATTTGGTCAGATCTCTCAATATTGGGAACAGGTCAGAAACATATGTGTTCCAGTAATTAAAGGACTGGGACTGCAATGCACGTTCCTTAAAGTAGACTTGAAAGGCTGCATTGATGGTGTCAGAAAGCTCCTTTGTGGGCTCCTTGGACTGCCAGTTTACCTCATTTGTACATTTTATTTTACTTTATTTTTTAGACAAAGTGTAATACAAAAAGTATTTATCTTAATATGAAGATTAATCTGGTAGTAATGTATGATGATAACTATAAAGGGAAAAAAGTCCCATTCACCTGCAGTGTGATAATAGTGTCACCTATAATTGTGGTCATTTTCAGGACTTTCGTCCCGGGTAGAGATTTTGGCACACATCCCACATTGTTCAATGGGGTCATATTAGTCTATAACAGTTGAGATATTCTCCGCTAAAAGAAGTGCATACAAATCTTACCCAGGACCTCTACTATTATTACAAGCTTACCGTTGTGAATCGAGCTACGGCAAGCAGAGAGTTTTGAACACTGGCTGGTTATGTACTTGCTCAAAAATTTATTTTGGATAATTTTTAACCCAAAAAGTTACTTAAATAACAGCTTTAAATAGCTTAGAGTAATTTGAAAGCATTCTGTGAGACGTAATTTCACAAACAGCGTAAGTGAATCACGGTGTACACTATCTCTTTCCCTCTCAAAATGCTTCACATCAGCACATCGCGTCTGCACTATAAGCGGCTGCACAGTTGACACAGGAAGTGTCACATTTCTGTTATAGCGCACACACGAGGCGCCAAACAAACACCTCGCGAGTACCAAATTGTGCTTAAATGGACACACAAATGTACACAATTACCGCCGTGACTGCACGCAAACACAGTCAGGTTTGTCTTAAGTGAACGTGTACAGTTGAGAAAGTTGTGTAACAGTATATTGGATCCGTGCCGCTCTTAAAGTGACAGCAGCCACTTATAATCTTATTTAATTTATTCAAGGAAGACCATCCAGTATTATTTTACATTTGATTCCTTATTAAATTTCTTTAGCAGGCTATTTCTTGCCTCAACACTACCGTTAGACCAAAACTTAAAGAGTTTTATTTTATTTGTGTCTTTATTCTATTTTATTTATTTGTGCTACTGCTTGTAAATGGTTTATTTGTTCTTATTTTATTACTGACTGTTTACTTGTCTTTTTTGTGAATTCAATTCAGAGTTTGAAATCAGGCTTGTGCTGTGTGTTAGCTATTGTGCAACGGAATTATGTCGGAATTATGACATACTAAATCAAAATGATGACATAAAGAGTCATAATTATGAGATTAAAAAGTCAAAATTATGACAGAAAGTTTTAGTCATAATTTAGGCTAGACTTTTCTTCTCATAACTATGACCTACCAGATATGCTTTTTTTTCTTATGTGGTGGAAATGAGCTTTCATAGACTTGCATGCTTTGAAAACTCAAGTTGTTGACATACAAGGAAGGATGACTATAAAGGTTGTCAGATTTATCAAGTACATAAACTCAAATGTGGTCGTTGTTGCCCATATTTAGCACTTAATTTTCTTACAAAATACACCAGCTTCTAAATGACTGGCCATAATTCATGCTCCCGTCATGAAAATAAAGAAGAAGAAAAAAATGTGAACCTTGCATTTGACAAATCTGTCAAACCATGTGTTCGAAAAAACTGCTTTGTCAGCATCAGGAACATGATAAACATGATGAAGCATTTCATGCTTCAAACTGACGTGTCTCAGCAGAAAAAAACTACTACTAGTGGTAGAAATTATTGGAGTCAACTGCAAATGATCTCTAGAAGAAAGAAAAGTGCAGTAAGCCAAACATCTTTGCAATACTGTTGTACATGATGTACAACTCAGATTCTGATTACATTTATTTTGTACAAATAATTACTATTGTATTTAAGTATATTCATAGTATTTTAGTAAGTAACTTCATGAACTATGTGAAATTGCACTAAATATTCACATTTCACACTTTTTTTACATTCAAGGCAAGTTCACAATATGCATCATCAACATTATGTGAATCCATGAGGCCAAATTACACGACTTATTAGCTACTTCCTCAACAATGCAGAAAACTACTTATTAAATTACCAAACCACAGAGTATATTTTATTTATATAACGTTAATTGCAAACGTAAAACAAATGTGGAAATCACAATGAGCATACTAAAATGTTGAGCAAACATGGGCAATCTCAACTGTAGAATAAACAGAATCAAAACTCATTAGATGTGTAACGTTAGTTTGAGGTCTTTTTGATTGTTTACTGTTTCTATAAAACTGAAGAACAACAAACTGAGAACTAAAGACACACAGTACTAATCCGCTGCAAATCTTTAGCGGCGTCTAAATGCAGAAAGTTGACTTCTATGTTGATACCAACTTTAAGAGATAGTTTTAAAACACACAAGTTTGAGAAAAGTCCTTACCTGCTCCCTTCAGTACTGACAAGAGATTCACGCGATGCGGAAAACTGGTGTGATGTCACTCCTCCTCCGTCATACACGCTCGACTGGTCCATTCCTCTGAGAGGGGGAGACCTGACATATTTGTAAATGTATGTATATTATTTTACGTGGGTAAATAAAATCATATTTATCTGTAATGATTATTTTTCGTAGTTTAAAATATGTAGTAGTGTGTCCTTATTTCGCGTTGTGGTAGTACAAAGCAGTGTAAGTTTTACAAAAAATATCTATCCACCTGATGAAGCAGTGGACGCTTCTAAAAAATGTTTTGTAATGTTGCACATGCAACGTGAAATAATCCATTTCAAAGTGCAACGGGTTAAGGGTGATGGTTATGCAATCATTAGGATGGTACAACATGTTTTCACGTCCCTGAATCCGCAGTAAACTTTCCTCCGTCGTGAGGTTACGAAAATATAACGACGTGAAACAATAAGTTTGCCACGTTTTCTAATAAATAAGCCTACCTGAATTGCCTTTCAATAAAGTGAGTATTAAATCGAAGTTTAATCTATAGACACGTATGATTAGATTATGTTTGGTCATGAAATTAGTAAATTAATATGTTTAATTGCAAAAGCGAAATCTGGAATGGGCTTAAGTAGCCCAGATGTGTTCCAAAAACGCCAACTTCTAATGTAAATTATTCACTTTTTTTATAAAATGAACACGTACATTTTGATTAGTCAGTTTAACGAACTTCCGATTATCTGGTCAATCTAAAACTTTTATCTAGATATTTCTTTATTCTTTACATGGTCCCTTAGGGATAGTTCCACACCCCACATTATGTCAATCCAAACCCATAAGCCTTTGGTTAAAATTTGCATTACAAATTAAAATATTTTTAATGACACCTGAGAGGTTACCCACTGACCAAAGTTACGTCCAAAAGACGTCTTTTTGACCAATTTGTCATACGTTGAAAAGACATCCCTTGAAGAGCCAGAATTAAAGTTTTTTTTACATCTTTTTATGACATCTTCTGAATGTCCGATATTCGACCTCTGTACAATGTTAAAACTAGTTCAAATGTGGTCTTTGTTGACGTATTTTTAACGACTTATAACCTTACGGAACAGAAATATATTTCCATTTATTTATGATCAATATACTGAAAAATATATGAAATAATATACTGCGTTAATGTGTTTTTAGTATTACTGAATAATACATAAGGAATTGCCGCTTTTCATATATTGAAAAATGTATTTACAATTTAGTGTACTTAGAATAAGTGGACAAACGTGGGAAACGATTGCCTTAAATTCTCAAAGGATGTTTTACTCAAAGTTGTTAGTTGTTAATATCAAGACAAAAGAGTGTTGGGACAATGATAGACTGTGCATTTATTTCTATTTATTAAACTGAAACATAACTGAATAAAAAAATAAAAATATATCAACTGTCTAAGCAACATGCAGCATATCATCAGTGTTTCTTGGTCTTCTTCTAGACACTTCAGCACAATGGTGACCCACAAAACTTAGACAACAGAAACCATTTAAATCCCAACAGTCAATTAAACACTTACATATCTCTCAAGATCTCAACAGAGATAGGGTAAACACTAACCCAAACACTGATCATCATAATGGTAACTGCACACTTTATTTATTTTTTATTTTCAATAAATCATCAGCATCTAAACCTCTGTTAATTCTCAATAAGAAATTCTGTAGATGTCTGACAGAAATAAAGTCAATCTGGTTAGTAAATAGTGAAGCTGGCAATGCTGTTTTTGTTGTTTAATCCTCCTCTGCAGAGATCTGTTAGTGTTTAATGTTCTCGTAATATGTCATGTCATGTCACAAAAACTTAACTTTACATAAATTGAATAAAACAGCCCTGAATCAGTGCCCTTGCAATGATGTATTCACTATTTTGTTTGTTACTTTCCTGACAATGTAAAGCCTACTTATTCCGATGTGGCTGTCTTCCCTTTTAAAACTGTAGTTTAGTAAATTATTACATTTATGCAAAGTTGAAAGACTCACCTGCTATTTATTTATTCTACATTTGAAAACATTAAACTTTGTAAATTTATTTTTCCCATGGTTAATATTAGTGTTGCTGCTGATGTTAGACATAAAAATATGTTTTAATTGTGTAATATGGAAGGCTAACTTTCAACACCTTTTTGTTTTTAAGATGACTAAAAGGAGAAAAAAATACAAGTATGGACTTACTTCACACAATCATTACCAAGGGTGGAAGAGTGCAAAGAATTGCAAAGGAATATAAGCGTGGGGTTAAAAAGGCATCAAGACATTCAAACTACACCTCCCAAAATGTTTGAAAACCAGACAAAGTGGCAGACATCTGATGCCTGCTCAACAACACTTGACATGATGCTTACAGTGATAATGGCTGCAGAAAATCAACCTTTTAACAATATTTGAAAATAAAGGATTTCAGAGATTCGTGGCTGCTGCAGAACCAAGATATACACAGAAGAGTGAAAAGTTCTGCTGCACAGAGTTGGTAACCAGTATTCACAGCAGAAAAGTTGAAAAGGTTAAAGTGCTGATAAATCCTGATAAAGCAGATTATAACTTGGCTTTTACCACAGACTGCTGGTGCAACTGAATCCCTAATGAGTTTAACATGCCATTTCATTGATGATTAGTGGTTTCACAGACAAGTAATTCTGAACACAAAGCAATGATTTGATAACATACTGGGAAGTGAATTAGTGAGGCATGCTGGAACAATGGTAAATTGACAAAGATAGAGCGGTTCTTGTTCTCAGGGACAGTGGTGCTAGCATTTTTAAATTACTGAACTGCCTGACATGATCTGCAGTGGCCTCACATTACATCTTGTTGTCAATGATGGCCTTAACTTGCTTGAGAGTTAAGCGAGAAGGTGTGATACCCATTTTAATAATTCATTTTCAGCCAAACAGCATCTAGCGCTGATCCAGCAGGAGCTGGGCCCACCTGTCCTAGCCCTCATCCAGGCTGGCCCAACCCGAAGGAATCTCACTTAGCACATGCTGGTCAGGATGCAAGAGCAGAAAGGGGCTTTGAACATATATGCTAGTGAGCATTGTGGGTTCGCCAGCCCAGTGGAATATTTCCTGTGATATTGAGACCCTTGAGATGAGCCACTACAAAAGTTCAGTGTCGTTCATTATCCCATCTGTCAAAGTTCAGAAGAGGCTTCTCAGCAGCCAAGGCCCACTTCTCATGGGATTGAAACAATGAAACAAGAGTTGTTGGAGAGTCTCAACCATCGGTTTGCAAAAGTGGAACACACCAGCTACAGGTGGAGAGAGGAGAGAGAGTGATAGTTCAGTGAATGGGGATTATTAGGAGGCCATGATTGGCAAGGGCCAATGGAGGGGATGTGGCCAGGTTACACCCCTACTCTTCAACGAGAAGTGCCATGGGATTTTTAATGACCACAGATACCTCGTTTCCACCAAAAAATAACTGATTTGGAACTGGTGCTGGTTCAAAGTTGGTTCAAAGTTGGTTCATCTTGCAAACCTTCTCAGAACCTGTTTGTTTTTCCACTGACTAGCGAGCCCAGCGGACGACGTCTTTACGTCTGTGTACTACTGTGTACGTCGCCATACGTCTTAGCCCAACGTAAGCATGACGTGGTAAAAGAACGGTTCTAGTCCAGCAAAGAGTTGGTCCCACTTTGGAGCCAATTTTCCTGGCCGAGAACTGGTTCTTTGGCCGTCGAAACACAAAGAACTGGTTCGCGAGTAGGCACCGGCTCCGAACCTGCTCTCATAATGCTTTGGTGGAAAAGGGGTAAGAGAGTCAGGACCTTGGTTTAACGTATCACCCGAAGGACGGTGCTCTTTGACAGTATAGTGTCCCCATCACTCCCCATCACACACATGCATTTTCATTTTACACCACCCTGGTGAAGAGACACAGTCATTTGATTGCAGTACCCTTTCAAAAAGGCCCCAGGCAGAAGAGTGTCAGACGAAACTGACTGATGATATGTTGGACACTTTACTTGGTGCTAGCTCTGAAGTTGCTGGTTCTAGCCTTGAAGGAGGGCTTCAGCAGTGCCTTCTGGAACCGGTAATTGATGGACAGATGGGCGAGCTACATTTACGGTGGAAACAAAATGAGAAAAGAGATGAGGACACTGAGAGAATGGAAAGTGACCGTGAAGAAAGAGAAGGCATGGCTAGTGAGGAGAGACAGGGACATGTGACACTACCAGTCAGCCACTAGCCAGTCGATTGAATATTAAAAAATATATATATAAAAAGACAAGAAAAGAAAATCACCAAGAAAGCAAAGGTAGCAAGAAAATAGGGAAAATGCAGCTCTTAAGAAGACAATGAAAATTGGGGACAAAATATTAACTTTTTCAACAGACCATATTAAGGCATTAGGCAGACCAATTAGGGCATTGGAGCAATGGCACAGTTAAGAAGGTGTTACAATTTCAGGAATCAGAACCCTGCAAAGAAAGATCTGTTAAATGTGAGCCTGGTCTGTTAACAGAGATCTTTGATTTCCTAAAATTAAAGGTAGATGGATTGACAAACCTTGAAAGGAAGTGTGCGTTGTCCTTGGATGAAATGTCAATCACTCCAAGTTTGGAGTTGCACATGCTCACAGGCAAATTCTGTGTGGTCACTTTGATAAAATGAAGGCTGGTCTTGCTCCCAGTGTATACAGTAAGGCAACAAGTGTTGGGTTAAAATACATGGTACAGCAAGAAAACCACATTCTGTCCTACCTGACTACAGCGTGTTCATGGTGACAGTTGATCTTTGGTTCGATCTTCCCATCCAATTACAGCCCTTGCCAGCATGTGACAAATCCAAAACTGCAACACAGCACAATGATGACAGTACTGCTGGAGAAAACAGTATCTTAGTGAACTTTAAAGAGTTCAAGACAGGTGCTCTTTGTTGTCCCTCCCAAGATTATAACTATTTAGGACTAAGACCGGTTCCTCCCTCATGGAGCTCGCCGACTCAGTCACTCTCCTGCCATGGCAGGCTGCCTGCCATTATGCTGTGGAGTACACAGATTAAAGAAAAAAAAACACTTCAAAGATGCACATCTTGGAAGAAAGAGCCAATCCAAAAAGATTAAAAAAAGACCAAGCCAAGCTTCAACATCCAGCAACCAGCTAACAGCTCCAAAGGCCGAATCCATTGGTCATTGCAATGGAAACAGTCGGAGTAACCATTGTCCCAACACCCAGCCATCACCAATCCTGCTAGCAACCAGTCAACACCACTGACCACTGAACATCATCATCCCTGACCAGTGCCATCAGTGATCCCCACCCTGCAGCACTCCTGACATGCACCATCACTGCAGTATGATTCCTTTAACTTACTATTTGTAATATATATTACATATTCAGTGTCACGTTTGGTTTTGTATCAGATTTAGGTTTTCATGTCACAGTTATGTTCCTGGTTTTGTCATGTGATTTCCTGTAACGTACCCCTTTTGTGTTATGTTATGTCTCTTGTCAAGCTAGTGTAACCCATCGTTTGTCAAGCCTGTTCTGTTCATAGTCAAGTCTGTTCAATTATGAAGTCTGTTATGCCATGTTTTAGTTTGGTTTGTATTCTCTTTCAATAAACTGCACACGGGTGCGCATTTAACTCACCTTCAGTGGACTTGCTTTACTTTCGGTCATATAATCGTTATATAAAATGGCATCATACACATTTAACATGATTCCTTATTGCTGGCTCCTCAAAACTCATGACCTGCATTATTCCTGATGCTCCATTACCTAGCAGTCCTGGGGGTATTCCAGAAAGCAGGTTATGTGACATACCTGGGTTAGTTAAGGGTAAGTGAGTGGATAAACGTAACTTTCGGATCCAAAAACAGAGGTAAATGGACTGCATTTATTGGGCCCGCTTTCACAGACCCAATGGCCACCAAAGCGCTTTACATTTGCCTCACATTCACACACCAACGGCGGTGTCTGCCATACAAGGCACCATCCAGCTCGTCGGGAGCAGCCGGGGTTAGGTGTCTTGCTCATGGACACCTCGACACTTGGTCAGGTGGAACCGGGGATTGAACCACCAACCTTTCGGTTCGCAGACAACCTACATGAACCACTGAGCCACTGCCGCCCAGTAAATATCAGGGTATGTAAGTAGCCACAGCAAATTGCTTTCTGAACATAACACGACTGCTCTCTGCAGGGCCTGTAGGACCAGAGAAAGACCCCGAGAGGGGATGAGGTGAGGTCTGGGAGAGTGTAGCTCTCAGGAACCTAACGTCAGGACCAAGACTGGTTGGGCCAGTACGGTGCGACCATTAGGACTTGTTCTTCTTCCTCCCTGACTTTGCACATGACAGACGTCGTCCCACTTCCAGCTTCACAAGGTCCCCTGGGTGTCCCTAACGCTTTTTTATTTTTATTATTATTTAAAAAAGGAATAATAATATAGGAATTATTATTATTATTTATTGCCATTGCAAGTACAACGAAAGTACATCAGAGCATCAATCGACAGTGGTTTTCATAAAGTGCAGAAGATCACCAATAAAAACAGTTTGTTTACAGGGCACCGCAACAGACAGCTACCAAGACAAAAGAATATCAAGTGGAATCACTTATAGAGTCAAGTCAAGTCAAGTCACATTTATTTATATAGCGCTTTTCACAATACAGATTGCATCAAAGCAGCTTCACAGTGATAACATGAAAGTAGTACAACACAGTTCAATAATATTGTTGAATATTAAATATCCCCAACTAAGCAAGCCAAAAGCAAGGCGACAGTGGCAAGGAACCAAAACTCCATCAGATTGGATGGAGAAAAAAACCTTGGGAGAACCCAGGCTAGTCAGGGGCCAGTTCTCCTCTGGCTAACAATCATAGGGTTTTAAAGAAGCTTTACAGTAAGTGCATATCAGAGAGTACCTGGAAAAAATACATTTAGTTAATCATGTAATATTTAGGGGATAACATATCGCCGGCGTTGAGTCGTCTCTTCGCAGGCGTTGAGTCGTCTCTTCACAGGCGTTGGTCTTCTCATCACAGGCGTTGAGGCATCCGAAATCCCCGTGAGAGGCAGGATACCAAACTGGAGCCTACGAACGCCATTTTTCTCGGGACAAGCGTCCCGAGATAACAGCAGAAAGGCAGATGGGAAATAATTAGCATAGCTGATGTTCATAATGATTTCCATTACACGGGAGTAGGTGTTAGAAAACCATAATCTCACAAGAGCTGCACAGTCCAGTTACAATTATTGCATCTGGTGGATGATAAAGTCCATACTAGCACCACAAATAGGGCCATAGTGACACATATAAACAGAGAAGGGGCATATAAGGTGAATCACTACCAATCAATGAAAATGTATAATTATGTGTGCTGCAACAATGCAGAGTCCAGTTCACAGTTATTGCAGTTGTTGGGTAATGTTAAATAATGTTAGATGTGTAAATTAGGTAACAGAAGGAGGTAGTCCGGAATGGTGCTCATTCAGCAGTCGAACTGCCTGAGGGTAGAGGCAGTTGGCCATTCTAGTGGTTCTAGCTGGAAGAGACCTGTACCTCCTGCCCGACGGGAGCAGGCGGAACAAGCCGTGTGCTGGATGGAACCGGTAGGGTTCCCACCTGTCCCGGTTTTACCGGGATTGTCCTTCTTTTTAATAACTTGTCCCGGGAAATTTATGCACTCTCCCGGGACACTGAATGTCCCGGTTTTCGAAAGGCTACGTGAATATGTTCAAACTGTGTAACGCGCGCACGACAGAGAGGGAGAGAGCGAGAGACCTTGCGTCTGTGCCTCAAAAAGTGCATGTTAGAAGCGCGCATGTAATCGCCTTCCCCCGTTGGGCGGGTCATCGATATGTCCCGGTTTTTTATCAGACATAGGTGGCAACCAGGAACCGGTCTCTTATGATGTTGTGTGCTTTACGCATGACAGCGGGTGGTGTATAGATGAGATCTCCGGGAGAGTAGTCCCGATGATTTTGCCTGCAGTTTTCACCACCTTCTGAATTAACTGTCGTTCAGCTGTGGTGCAGCTAGAAAACCACACCAACAGCCCATAAGTCAGCACACTTTGGATTGCACAGTTGTAAAAAATTATCATAAGCCTCTGGGGGAGTTTCACTCTTCTCAGCTTCCTCAGGTAAAAGAGCCGCTGCTGGGCCTTCCCTACCGCTGTACTAATGCTCCTGCCCCAGGACAGATCCTCCGACATAGTAACACCCAGAAATTTAAAGTGTTTCACCCTCTCGACTGCCTCTCCATTGATGTTGAGGGATGAGTGACCTAGATTGTTTGATTTACGAAAGTCAACTATGATTTCCTTTGTCTTTCTGATGTTTAGTAAGAGGTTATAGTTCTACCACTCTGTTAACAGTTCGATCTCCGCCCTGTATGCCTTCTCATTGCTGGCTGTAATGAGGCCGAGCACAGTTGTGTCGTCAGCAAATTTAATGACATGATTAGTGGGAAAAAAAGCGGAACAGTCATGTGTGTAAAATGTGTAAAGTAGGGGACTGAGCACGCAGCCTTGAGGTGCACCAGTGTTGATGTATATGGTGTCAGAAACGTGCTCGCCTATTTTCACACATTGGGAGCGGTTGGTTAGAAAATCCAATATCCAGTAACATAGTGACTTGTTCAATCCAAGATTACACAATTTCAGCAGAAGTGTATTTGGCCATATTGTGTTGTAGGCAAATTAATAGGTTGAAGGTTAAATGAATGAGAAATAATAAATTAAAACATTTATTATTATAATTATTAAATTATTCAAAAACATTTCAGGAAATAAAGAGATAGAAATAAGAACGGTCTATTTATTATAAAGTAATCATTTGAAGTATTTGCATATATATATATTTATATTTAAATATGCACACATTCACTCTTAATCGTATGTCTCTTAATTTACTGTCTCGTTGATATTGATATTTGGGCTAGTTTGTTAAGTCTTTTTGATTAGCTATTTTTGATATTTTTTGACCTGGCAACCCTTGGTGTCACTGTATCTGCATGTTTTCGTGTACTAGCAGAAGGACTTTGAAATATTTTTAAAGGAGCTGACGAGCTGTGCTCCAGTACCTACAGATGGAGACTATAAGCGCCTCTGCATGCAGCAGAAATATGTTGCATTGCGTTGCATCCCCCTCTCAATCTCTTATTTGTGTGCCATTACTCCAGTCCTCCAGGAGTCGCTGCGGCAGATTCGCAGATCATCACCGAGTGCGTGCGAGGAAGAGGCAGGCAGAGAGACGCAGCACTGGAGCACCGCGTTGAGCTGAACATAATCAACCATGTCAATATTTACACCTACAAACCAGATCAGGCTAACAAATGTTGCCGTCGTGAGGATGAAGAAAGGAGGGAAAAGATTTGAAATAGCCTGTTATAAAAACAAAGTGATGAGCTGGAGATCTGGAGCGTGAGTCTGTTATGAAAAACTCGTCATATGATTTAAAAAAAAAAATATATATATATATTGTGTTTATTCGGTGATTATAGCTATTATAACAGTGATATCAGTAATTTAAGACTTTAACACTATTACTTTTTGATTGTTTTTGTTTTGTTTAGTTGATATTTGATAGAAATAGTAGCTTTTAAAGAGTGCTCACACTATGGTACCAACACTTACCAACTGGCTCCAGGTTCACATCTTTTTGCCAGTCTGTGGTTCACGCATTACTCTGCAGTGCGCATGCGCAGGAGCAGCACGCGCTCATCGTGTTTTCACATATGACGGATTTGCAGTGCGCGGCTGTTTACTACAAACACAACATTTTATTCATTATTTTTATTTCAAATCCAAACGTGTCTTTTACACTGTAGTTATACAATCTGTCATATACGTATTCACGTTTAAGGCAAGACACCATACCAGGTGTATATGTTTAAAAACAACAACTAATAGATACAATAGCCTACTTTTTATCAACCCACAAACTCCCATTTGGGAAACTCTGTCTAAAGGGATTTGTAACGTCATTTGATGGAATTTCATGATCACTTGGTAAAACAATTAATAATTTTCTTAAGTGACATTAATGTACCGGTAATGCACAAATCAACTGTACCTCCAGGGAGAAAGACCTCGATGAAGTCCTGCAGACAAACACAGTGTTTGTGAATGTGTCTAAGGGTCAAGTGGCGAAGAAAGAGGACCTGTCAAACGCTTTCGGCACAGATGACTTGACAGAAATATGCAAACAGGTGAATTTACAGACTCAGTCTGATCAGTGCGGTTCATAAGAAGAAGATTATGTATTCAGTTGACGCATGTTTTCTACGAATCCTTAAATGTTTCTACATAAATGGCTTTTATTTTCAGATTTTATCTAAAGGAGAATTGCAGGTGTCAGATCGGGAACGGCAGAGTCAGCTGGAACAGATGTTTCGTGATATTGCAACTATTGTGGCAGAAAAATGTGTGAATCCTGAGACCAAACGGCCCTACACAGTCAGCCTTATAGAGAGAGCGATGAAGGACATCCACTTCTCCGTCAAGGCAAACAAAAGCACTAAACAGCAGGTCAGTAGACCTCGATCATGTGGCGATCTGTGAAATGTGTAGCTGCACATAATCACTGAAGAGGTCACTAACATCAAATGATGGTTGTTTGTGACGTTTGACAGCAGGGCTTGACATTAACCTTTACTCACCAGCTATTGTGGCTAGTGGCTTTCCAAAGTTACTAGCCAATTAGCATTTTCACTGGCCACAATTTTGACATCGAACTGCGATATAGATATTTTCAATATTTAATCTCATAATTTGGCAGCAGGATTATTAGGCTGCTGTCACTTTAAGACCCGATGCACAGATCCGTTACACTGTTACGCGTGCATTTTCTTTCTCAACTGTTTACATTCACTTAAAACATAACTGACCGTTTACGTGAATACTCGCCAAGACTGGCATTTTGTCATTATTTTGTGTGTATTCAACTGTTTAAGCGCTATAAGCAGCGAAAATTTACTCAATTTAGTTCTTAGTGGCTTTATGAGCGCAAACTTTGGGTATGAACTCAAAATCTGTGGGAATGAGTAAAATGATGCACAATACACAGTGGCTAGAGGAGTGACTGCGTTACACACCACTGCTGAAACCCTCCCGGGTGGCGGCTGTTAATGTCAAGCCCTGGTTGATAGTAACATGGTCTCTACGGGTACGTTTACACGACAACGATATGCTTAAAACTGAGAAGTTTTTCCTTTGAGTTTTCCGCGTACAGACGACATCATTGTCAAAACGATCCTCATGCACACAATCTGCGAAAACGACTAAAAGCGCTGCGCTATACAGGTGAACCTCGAACAATGAGAATATCATGCAACAGTTCATGTATTTCAGTAATTCAAATTAAAAGGTGAAACTAATACAGTGTTGTTTTTGGCAGCCCTTTTAGTTTTAGTCTTAGTCTTTTGGACGAAAATGCTTTTTAGTTTTAGTCACATTTTAGTCGACGAAAACGCAAAAAGGTTTTAATCAAGTTTTAGTCAATTTTAGTAAAAATAAATAAATAAATTGTCTTTAAAAAATAGAGAAAATAAAATGCGGCTGTGTCAAAATTGGTATCAAGTTCAAAAATAGAAAATAAATAAAAGTGCCACTTTGCAATCTGTTAAAAAAAAGAAAAGAATAGAAATCCATTTGGCAAGACAGGTCTATTTATCCCTGCATTAGTGGCTGCAATGAGCCTGTTTTGAATTGCACAATTTCTCAAAAGTCATGCTCAATGTTCAGCTGAGATCTGTACTTTGTTTTCAGTGAAACTGAAACAGCTGAAAAGCCCATCTCACAGAGATATGATGTGGCAAAGGGAAGAAGAATGCACACAGCTCTCTGCCTTTAGCCTACTTAAAAACGTTATATATATATATATATTTTTTTTAAATAGATAAAATAGACATAACATACTGTGTTTGATATGGGATTAAAATGATGGGTAGTGTATGGGCAGTGTATAAGATATAAACTAATGATAATTACTTTAATATTCCTTTGTTCCGATCAGAGCATGTGAGCGGAGAGCGCATTTCTGAATATTCCTCGGCTCGCTCATTCAGCTCAGGGTCGCGCGCTCAACACAGAATGGCCTGCTGGTTCGAGAATATGTGGGATAAGAGCTGCCTCCGACTAAAGTTTGTATTCTAGTCGACTAGTAGTTGTTCATTTAAGCCATTAGTGGACAAATCGCCCCTTTATATTAATTTAATTACTTATATTGAGCGTTATAGCCGCACTCAAGCGCAGGACCGCACGCATAAAGCTTGCCACAAAGAACCGGCAAAAGTAGTGATTATGAATGTTTAAAAAAATAGCAAGGAGACATTTAATTGTTTATTAATAAACTGGTGTTTTCGGTGTCGCTGCAAAGATGAATTTGACGATGCGGACTCGCCATGAACGAATAAAGATAAAAAGGCATAAAACGGAAAATTTCACCCGTTTTGGAGGAGACCTGTCACGCCAGTGGGGCGCGCCACACACTTTGAGAACCGCTGGATTATACTGAAACTGAAAGTAGCCTATGTCCATAAATCATCTCGTCGACTCCGACCACCAAGCCCGTTTACTGGCTTTGCCGCCATGGTCTTTCGAAGATGTGTGGTGAGTGACTAGCCGCAGCCGCAGGTGTGTTGTTGTGTGGAATCTGATGCGCGCGCGGCATGGGTACCCAAAACAATGAAAGGAAGCGGCAGCATTGCTGATACTTTTTTAGCTCAAGACAGATTTCACGCAAAATAGGCAGAAATGACATGCATTGCGAACGTCAGACTTATAGTCATTTTCGTTCCGTCTCGTCTTGTCAACGAAAACTCGAAAACGTCTCGTCATGTTTTAGTCACCTTAGAGCCATTTTTAGCTAGTCATCGTCGCGTTATCGTCATAAAAAAAAGTGCGTCAACGAAATCATTTCGTTATCGTCATCGTTGACGAAAACAACATTGAACTAATATATTTAGTATATAACTATATACATATGCATGATTATACTTTTCAGAGGGCCGACATTTCTGTATTTAAAATCCTTTTTTTTTATCGATTTCATGTAATATTCTAATTTTCTGAGATTTTGAATTTGGGGTTTTCATAAGCCATAATCATCAAAATTATAACTTTTGCACGATATTCTAATTTTTCGAGTTTCACCTGTAGACTGAACAGTTAATACGCATGTGCATGACGTCATCGTCTTCAGATACACGTTTTTGTTGTTTACACGGAGACCGCTTTCAAATTCAAGCTTGCACTTTGATATGGTTCACGTACCTACCCCGAAGTGATGAAATAAAATAAAATTCTGTATCAAAATTTATAGGCAAGACAAGTAGTTTGTTTAGGCATGGTTTGTAGGGAATTACAAACCTGCGCACATATATTCAAACGCACATAACTATAGAATAAATTCTTAATGCACAAGTGAACGCCATCAGCGTTTATCCTAGGTTCGCGTTTAAAGTCTGTTTAGAGAGAACGCTGTCGTCTTAGCGGCTCCTAATTTAATAACAAATGATCATTTCGACGGAAGTGAATCAATCAAAACTAACTTTAGCTGGAAAATAACATTATTCAAGAACCGCTATAAAACCAAACCAATCTCTGTTACCTTTAATTATATGTTTATCACTGTAAAGCTGCTTTGAAACAATCTACATTGTTAAAAGCGCTATATAAATGAGGATGACCTGACCTGAAAGTTAGCGTTTTCAGGCCCCTGAACGGCCAAAACGCGTGTAAATGAACGGCCAAAACGCATAAAAAGTGTAACGTGACGTGTTTAGTTGAAACGTGTGTGGTGTAAACGGCCCCTGAGAGCCTGAGACCGTGATGATGCTGAAGGTCAGTTTTGTGAATCCCCCCCAGGCTCTCGAGGTCATCAAGCAGCTGAAGGAGTCCATTCAGATCCAGAGAGCTCACATGCGGCTGCGCTTCGTCCTGCCAGCCAAGGACGGGAAGAGACTGAAAGAAAAGCTCAGACCCTTGATAAAGGCAGTGGAGGACGAGGACTTCGATGATCAGCTGGAAATGGTAAAGAGTCTTTCGGGTCAATTTATTCATTCATTCATTACGCTTTATATACTGGATGTCAAGGACGTAACCACATTTTTAACCAGATATCATTGGTCTATAAACGAGGGATATGCCAGCATGATCAACTAATCGACTGGTTATCCAACAACAGACTAGTTGAAAAGTGAGTTTAGTGAGTGAGTTTAATATGTTTAGCAGTGGTGCGTTAAATTAACTTTAATTTTGAAATAACAGAGATGCAACTTTTTTGTGATTTTTAGTGTCAATTTAGTATTTCTCTGCAGTCTGTTCTCTCTTTTTAAGATGTGCTACTGTACTTGCTTCCGGCTGTCAGTCAGAACAAGTGTTATGCTTTTATAAAATGGTTTCAGTAAAAAAAAACAAGCATATCACGACGAAGAGATGTTGTGCACCCACGGTACCAAAACTACCAATGCCAGTAACATTTCACTGGTCTCTGTACCAATTCTGATACATTAGCAAAAACTCTTGGAATAATTCATTCATTAACTATTTTAAAATAAACTTCCTAATAAAATTAAATCTAACACTTTACTAGAGGTTTCATTAGGTAAAATTAGGTAGCTACATTAGTTTTGAATTAACAATAAACAACACTTCTCCAGTATTTATTAATATTAGTTAAGGGTAATTTCAACATTTACTAAAACATTAAAATCTAAAGTTGTATTTGTTAACGTTAATTAATACACTGTGAACTAACATGAATGACTTTTTTATTAACTAACATTAATAAAGAAAAGATGGAATAAATACTGTAACAAATGTATTGCTCAATGTTAGTTAATACATTAACTAATGAGACCTTATTGCACCGATGCATACTATGGAAACAGTCGTTCACTGCCATTATGAAGTATATGTAATAAAATGATGGACAAAGAAACACATACCGTACACATTACATGATAGAACAAGTAGCAGGTCTATTAGTTTGCATTTAATGCACATCTATCTTAACAAAGTATCAGATTATTTTGTTATAATTTGTCATTCATCGTCATTTCGGATTAATTTGTGCATTTAAACAGTTGTAAATCCAGTAAATGTTCAGTGTACTGAACCGTAAATTGCGTACAAGGACAGAGGACGTGGCCGTCCCGAGCTCAACAGCGCCACATATTTACATCTGTGGGGGGAGATGGCAACTACACACTACACTTTCCTTTACATTCCCCCCCCCCCCCATGTGAGGGGTGGACTCACTTTTGTGAGATACTGTATATATATATGTAAGTAAATATTGGCATTATATATTTTCCCCTTTTGTCTGAGTTAAGGTAACTGTGTGTCCTGCCTTCAGGTGTGTCTGATAGATCCAGGCTGCTTCCGTGAGATTGATGAGCTGATCCGCTGTGAGACTAAAGGAAAGGGAACGCTGGAGGTGCTCAGTCTCAAAGATGTGGAGGAAGGAGACGAGAAACTAGAATAACCTCTTCATCTTCACCTGCTTCAACACATTAAACTATTGCCCATTCATTTTACATGCAGAGCCTTTTTAATTTAGTTATATCTCTTTTTGCATCAGTATTTTTGCAACTGGAACAGGCTTTATTAACAATTCTAAATTGGTGAATATTTAAAACTATGTTCCCAAAAAGACAACATTTTGCATGTTTGCAATAATTTATTTTCTGTGAAAATTTGAATTGTTATATTAATAAGAGAAATTATAATAATATACAATAAAGCATTGTCACCTAGTCCTTATGTTATCATTTTAATGTGCTTATTTGGTGCCAGAGAATATAGTTCTTATAGTTTATTAATTGGCTAGTTTTATAATTTAATGATGTAAGAAAAATATATGAGAAATGAATTCAAATTAAAATCACTTAGAGGCTACTTAATCACTTAAACAAATTCATATGATATTGAAGTTTCACAAATAAAATCTGTCCTGGCCAAAAATGGTTTAAAAAAAATAATATTTATAGAAGAAAAAAAAAGTTCAATAATAATGTTCAATTTCTCATTAATGCAATTATCTAATCAACCAATCACATGGCAGGTGCTTCAATGCATTTAGGGGTGTGGTCCTGGTCAAGACAATCTCCTGAACTCCAAACTGAATGTCAGAATGGGAAAGAAAGGTGATTTAAGCAATTTTGAGCGTGGCATGGTTGTTGGTGCCAGACGGGGCGGTCTGAGTATTTCACAATCTGCTCAGTTACTGGGATTTTCACGCACAACCATTTCTAGGGTTTACAAAGAATGGTGTGAAAATGGAAAAACATCCAGTATGCGGCAGTCCTGTGGGCTAAAATGCCTTGTTGATGCTAGAGGTCAGAGGAGAATGGGCCGACTGATTCAAGCTGATAGAAGAGCAACTTTGACTGAAATAACCACTCGTTACAACCGAGGTATGCAGCAAAGCATTTGTGAAGCCACAACACACACAACCTTGAGGCGGATGGGCTACAACAGCAGAAGACCCCACCGGGTACCACTCATCTCCACTACAAATAGGAAAAAGAGGCTACAATTTGCAAGAGCTCACCAAAATTGGACAGTTGAAACTGGAAAAATGTTGCCTGGTCTGATGAGTCTCGATTTCTGTTGAGACATTCAGATGTCAGAGTCAGAATTTGGCGTAAACCGAATGAGAACATGGATCCATCATGCCTTGTTACCACTGTGCAGGCTGATGGTGGTGGTGTAATGGTGTGGGGGATGTTTTCTTGGCACACTTTAGGCCCCTTAGTGCCAATTGGGCATCGTTTAAATGCCACGGCCTACCTGAGCATTGTTTCTGACCATGTCCATCCCTTTATGGCCACCATGTACCCATCCTCTGATGGCTACTTCCAGCAGGATAATGCACCATGTCACAAAGCTCGAATCATTTCAAATTGGTTTCTTGAACATGACAATGAGTTCACTGTACTAAAATGGCCCCCACAGTCACCAGATCTCAACCCAATAGAGTATCTTTGGGATGTGGTGGAACGGGAGCTTCGTGCCCTGGATGTGCATCCCACAAATCTCCATCAACTGCAAGATGCTATCCTATCAATATGGGCCAACATTTCTAAAGAATGCTTTCAGCACCTTGTTGAATCAATGCCACGTAGAATTAAGGCAGTTCTGAAGGCGAAAGGGGGTCAAACACAGTATTTGTATGGTGTTCCTAATAATCCTTTAGGTGAGTGTGTATATATACATATAAATCTTTTGTAACATTATAAATGTCTTCACTGTCACTTTTGATGAATTTAATGCATTCTTGATGAATAAAAGTCGTTTCTCTTTTTTTTTTTTTTTATCTTACCATAAATGTTAGAATAGTATTATTGTTTCCACAAATAATGTTAATTCGGTGCGCAAAGTGAGCAGACGTCAACCAAACCTGCCAATGCATTTTTTTTTTGTGCCTTTTTGTATTTGTATTTTATCTCGTTAGTTTGATTTTTCAGTTTTGGACATTTTATTCAATCAGTGTCATGCATTAAAAATGGACACAAACAATCATATTTTAATATATAAAAAAACATTTTACATTTTAATTATTCTTATTTACAATTTACAACAGTACACAAAGTAACAGTAAAACATTATCAATCATAAAAAAACGTATAAAATGGCACATTTGCGTTTGTAAAATGAGTGAGCTGGGAATGTTAGAGGGGTTTTACATTCACTCAGGGACTAGAGATGTGTGCGTCACGATTATGTGGAATACAGAGAATGAAACATGACAATCGTACTCCTAACAGTATTCAGATATCAGTGAAAAAATTACATCAGAAAGCTATGAAGTGAAAGCCCTATAAAATATTTTGAACACGAGATTTGCTTAGTTAATTAAGGTCACTGTTTTCTAAAAGCAGGTTCTAGAATAAAAAGGCATATTTGATGCTATGCATGTACTTGTTGAGATGGTATTGGTGAGTTTATGCAGGAGTGTGTGTGTGCAATGCAAAAAAACACAGTCATATGCTTCATCCACAATACTAGAATGCTTTTCCTTTTAGTCTTTTCTATTTCATTAAAATCACGAACTCTGTTAATCCCTCTAGTCAGAAAAACCCGGCAGCCATTTTGGAGAAAACCGTCTGAAAGCAGTTTCCGAAGCTCACTAGCAGCTCAGACGGCATTGTGTCGTTCGGGTCCTGGTTGTCTTGTGAACTGAATCTTTGAAAGGCAGAAAAAAAACATGCAATCAACATGCTTACAAGCGAAGAACGGGAAAAATGATCTAAATATCAAGTTTTAAGTGTCGGCAGTGGTCGAAATCACAGACCAAAACAAAACAAGACATGAACGCACATTAACCGGCTGTTGCATTGTTTTTCGGAGAAACAAGTGTGTGTGAACTTAGCATGTTTCCTAAATATCTGCAAACATATGGTATTTATATGCTTGAGTACAGTAAACAATTACATAACAAAGCTAATGTATATCTGATGCATGTAATCTTTAAAGGCAAATGTCGCTGAAACATCTCAGTTTATAAGCCAGTTAATATAAAGATTTGTAAAAGTATTTGTCCAAAATGAAGTGCGGGGGCAGAAACATTTACAACTTAACCATCCTTTTCCGTCTCATTCTAGCGTTTAATGTTGAGGAGCACTGTGTGTGTGTGTGCGCTGACCTGCTCATTCATGATGGCGGAGAGCTCGGTCAGCATGTCTTTATAGTGAGCTTTCATCTCCTCCTGATACTCCAGCTGATCTTCTTTTATGAGACGCTCGTTCACTTTCAGGGCCTGCCCACATGCGTCCGCAAACTGCCTGAGCGACGAGAAACAGCCAATCACAGTCACCGCTCCAAACAAACCACACCTCTGTGCTCATTTAAACCTATATCATTATTTCCTAGTGTTATTGTAAGTCACTTAATAAAAGCACAAGCAAGCACACAGAGAGATTTGCACTCTTCATAAGAGAGCACAGCATATCTAGATTTGTGCCGGAGCGAAGGAAGTTCACTGTTTTTATAAATCTTTGACGGGGCGGAACAATGAATATAGAAGTACCTGAAGATCTCTTTCAGGAGCTTGACTTGGTTGTCTGGGTATTTCTTGGCATTCTTCTCCTCAAGGAAGGCTCGGGCGTAGGCCATGGGCCCTGCATTCACCTAAAAAACACAAAAACTTCATGAAATACATTCTTATTTTACAGTCTTAGTATAGAATAGCTAATACCAGTGTCATTAAAGAGATAGTTCACCCAAAAATGAAAATCAGGTCAGCATTTACTCTCCCTCAAGTTGTTCTAAACCGGTATGATTTTTTTCTTCTGCTGAACAGAAAAGATTTTTTTTGACGAATGTGAGTAACCAAACAGTTGATGGACCCCATTGACTTCCATAGTAGAAAAAAATACTATAGAAGTCGATGGATTTCGTCAACTGTTGGTTACCAACATTCTTCAAAAATGTCTTGTTTTGTGTCCAACGAAAGAAAGAAACTCATACAGGTTTAGAACAACTTGAGGGTGAGTAAATGATGACAGGACTTTCATTTTTGGGTGAACTATCCCTTTAACGTAAGAAATCAGAAATGGCGAGATGTGCATTAAACAATTTCAAATGCACATTGTGGAGACAAAACCACCTGACATGCGTTTATGATGATGCGATATGACTGAGGAGTAATTGGGGATATATATTGATCTGCCGTGTGTCGCGCAGTAGTTCACCTTAACACTGACACTGCCCTGTAGTTTGAGCTGCAGGCGGATCATGTCCACCTCCTCCATGTTGCACAGCTGTTTGAGTTCAGACACCTTCCGGCTCATCTCTTCGATCGCCACCTCGATAGGGTTCATCTCTGTGCTCTGCTGCTCCACCACCTCGATGCGCTTCTTCAGGAAGGGCAAACTGGAACTGGCTGCAGGACACACAGACAGTGGAGAGGTAATTACTCTCATTCCCATATCAACCTCGACCCGTTGAAGGACACAAGGATAGACGTGAAACTGCTCTTTTGATTCTGTCAAATTAATCCTATCAAATTGCATTATTCTTGAACTGACCAAAGTATTTAAAGGGAGAGGCTTACATTGAAACATACATTTTAAATCCACTGTTGTTTTATAAAGAATTATTCTGTAGTCTATACAGCATTTATTGCAATTACACCAGAAGTAACGTCTCGGTTACGTATGTAACCCTCGTTCCCTGAGTACAGGGAACGGAGACGTGTCGTCGGGGAGTTCCCTGACGAATTGGGATCACGCTAGGGAGACCAATTGCCTTCGAGTGAATTAAAACGAGCCAATGAAAATTGGCATGCAAGGTTTGCATTCCGCGACCCGCCTACCAACGCGGGTATAAAGGGCGGAAGTAAACATTGCGCAATGCTTTTCGCTGAGGAGCCGAACGGTGTCCAGTCCTCCGCGAAGGTACAGCAACATGGCGAAGGGACGACACGTCTCCGTTCCCTGTACTCAGGGAACGAGGGTTACATATGTAACCGAGACGTTCCCTTTCGTCCTGGGAACTCCGTGTCGTCGGGGAGTTCCCTGACGAATTGGGATCC